GAAAGAGTCCACTGAAAATTTTTAGAGTCCCTTTACTAATTTTTCGTTTCATTTAGTCTAATATTGACTAAAATTTGGTTCAAATTAATGAACTCAATATATGCAAAATTCTACAACTGCGACTTCATTCAAATACAATGAACAACATAATCAATCTAGATCTCGCGTAAATCATCTTTTATTGTTATTAACGTTAATACATTCGAGATGCAATCATCGCTGCGTCATTTTATATCTCTACTGTGAATAGCTAGAGATGCAACAATCTAGCTATTCACAGTAGAAATATAGCGTTATTATTAATTTTCTGGGCTGTAAAAAAGTCACTTCATTATTAAAACAATATAGAATATTATCTTTAAAGCATCTTGTAACCATTGATTTTAACATTACATGGAAGTAAATGAACATATAGTACACATAGTAACACATAGTAAATGAACTTTTGCTGGTTGAATTCACTTGTTTGAATCTGAAAAAATTTTGTTATATGAACGAAACTAGTAGAGTGGAGAATTAGTGGATTTCCACTATACGAATTCCAATTATATTTCCAGATGTAAATGTCTCACATTTTAGTGTTCAAACTCTGTTGCATTATTCTATAGATAAAAATAATATTAAAATATAAATACGATTAATATAATTAATTTCAACGACGGATTATATCGATAAGGAAGTATTCATATTTTCAAACAAAAATTTACAGTATAGAAATATTTACACGAAATGAATTAATGAAAAATTAGTAGAATCAAAATTATTGAAAATATTCAACAAAGTCGAATTCAACACTTCAACACTTTGAAGTGCACACATCAAGTATGTACAATTGTTTTAATATTCTTGTTAAAACTTTTTAACAAGGCATTTATGGAATTTTTCCTACGTAATATTTCATTTTCACTTTTGCCTATGGAACACATTGGTAAAGTTTGACGTTTAATGTACAAAACACCCTGTATATTAAACTGTTCGCTGGCAAGTTTATATAAATGGAGTTCTATTGTATAAAGAGTGACAACAATACGTCGGTTGTGTAAGAGAAAAATAATTTCATATAGCCGATGATGTATATATGCATCATAACATATTTTTCAATAAATTATATCAATATGTGTATACTTATCCTATTTCAACAGGAATATAATTAATTTCATATATTAATCCCAGTTCATGTATAAACATATTTCGCAAAGACAGATAATTAGATATAATGGAAAAGAAAAAACTATTATGTCTCAGTATAAAGATCGGGATTCTAAGTTCACAATAAAAGATGTACAAAATTAATTTTCAGAACTTGTGTTGTACCGACATGGACTGTAAAGAATCGCAATTTTGATTTCATTTAGAATTTGTAGAAATATTAAAAACGAAAGTTATAAGATCTTTATAAATGTCTATCGATATTGATTTTTGAATAGTTGAAAATAACTGAAGAACAATGAAATAAAATTTATTAAAACGCATTAAAGCTATCCTAATAGCTAAAGAGTTGTAGAATAATTTATTAAAAATTTTATCGCAAAAAATATTGCAAAATTGTCAATGAATGTCTTTTATTATAGGCAACTAAAGAGAAACTAAAAGATTTTCTATGTTTGACTTTAATTACCCAAAATTACCTTCATTTATTTAAACGAAATTATCATAATTATACGATTAAATTAATTATAATTGAGTTTCTGTTATTTGCATTATTTGTGATTTACATCTCAATTATGAGTGAAGGACGACATAAAGAAAATAATACTAGTCATGTCTTTTCTTGTCTTTCGCGCGCTCAAATTAAAATTAAAATATCTAAAAATCTAACGATTTTTTGACATGAATAGATCAATATATTTTATAAGGCATACCGAGAATGATAGATCAATAGATCAATAGATCAATATATTTTATGGCATACTTACAAATGTCACGTCTTTCACGCGTCCATCTGTCAAAGAATACTAACATCAGATTATGTGTCCCTCGATGTCAAACAAGTTTAGTCTGACCTAACCCTTTTTTTCCAATCGTCAATAACAATTAAGATACTCGGATTTCCTGTTTTTAAATGACTCACCCTGTACAAATGGAACTATTGTAATAAGAAAGAATTTATGCAAAACCTATAGTGACTCAGTCATGTTCTTCACTGTCCTTCGCCATTATATAAAAAAGATAAATGTACGGAAAATAATAAAAAATAATGTAAAGAAGTAAATAAATAACAGGAATACTTTGAATCTTCGATCGAACAAAGAAACACATCCGTCCTTCGTTCGATCGGGAGATTTTTCACGATTTTCCACGGAAAGAACGACACGATGCGACCGCGCCCCCCGGACGAGTTCGAATACACGCTTTTCCCCCCTCTCGTCGTTCGTTACATGTTTATCTCAGGAACTAGATCTTCGTTACAATCGTGATCGTTCCATATGCGGAGTCGCGTTCGTGATCTTCGCTTCTGGATTATTGCCCAATTATCCGTTTACATGGCTGCCTTAAC